CTAAGTGGTGGAATTACCAGTCTCTTTGTCATCCTCTCCAAAAGGACGAATTGTTATCTGAAAAGTTTTTGCATGATTAGATTACAGTATCTTTACCAGGAAAGATGTTCTGGAGTCATGCCAAAGAAATATGTACTTTCTTGCAGGTATACTTCTTCCCTTTCCCTATTTCTAAACATGTCCAGGTTGTAGGAATATGTGCCAAATTTCAGTGATGGTACACGCTTCCCAGAAAGAAGCAGCAGCAAACGGTGGTCTGAATTCGCTTTTTGGTTTATACTCTTATATATGTAGACTTCATTCCGACTGAGGGGAAGCAGCAGTGGTCTGTTGTATGGTTTTTTTAATTAAAAAAAAAAAACCCAAACCCTAATCCCCCCCTCCCCTTAGATATTGTTAAAAGTTTTTAAAGCAACTATACATAGAGGGTTTTGAGCCAGCTTTAGTATTCGACATATGAAGACATTACTGTACTGCAGCAAGCTACTACTTTAAACACAGTGGTCAGTATTGCTGAAGTGCTTCATATGTTCATCAACGTAATTTTCACTGCCTGTAGAATTAACAAATACCTTAGAGACTTAAAATTGAAGTTTTCTTCTAACTAGAAGAAAATATTTAAACATCAAGTGAAGGTAGAAGTTATTGAAGGTCCAGTCTACGTTTTGTCACTTAGAAGCGTGTAGTTGACGTGAAGGTTTGAAAAGTTGCGTACCCAAGGGAGATGGCTTTTGTAAAACTTGACTTCCACAGGGAACTCATGGAAGTAGCAACTTCCATCTTACATCTTTATCTGAAATATCAAAAAAGATCATGTTTTTGTGAAGTGATTTTTCCCTTCCTAGTATAAGTGCTTTGAGCAGTGATCCTTGACCACACATAGATAAGATTGCTTTGAAAAGGAATAAATAATCTGAAGAAATAATGTATTAACATTTATTTGCCTGTTTTCCAAACTTTCAGTTTGGTTAGTGTAGTTCCATTGTATTTTATGTGGCTAAATCATTAAGTGAAGGGTAGAGCATATACGTTGTGGTTTTTAACAGGCCTGAGCCTGTGGAATCTTCAAGAATAACTATGGAGAAATTGTTGAAGACATGCAGATTATAGAGCCTTCAAATAATGTTGCTTCCTCTTATTTTCTAGCTAGAAAAAGTCTTGTAAAGTACATGCATTTTCAGAAGATAGCAACCATAATTGTCCACTTCTAGGGGATTATTTTAATGTTGTTTCTAAATTATTCCAAGCAGGCCAAAATGAACTTCTTTCAGCTGTTTGAATTGTCCTTTAATACAATTAATATAATTTTAATACAATTAACTGGACAATTGATCAAATCCCAGCCGGGTTTTAGTTATTTTGAGCGCAAAAGAAGAATAAAAGGTTCTCTCTGATCCAATACGCTGTTTTCAGCAGTGATTGATAGTAGATGTTTAGGGAAGAAAAAAAACCAGGGCGAGTACATAGCAATGATTGTGTAAAATATTCTCCCAGCCTTCAATGGTTTGCTGTTCACGGATACAAGTCCATCCTAAAATGACTTAAAAAGAGCTGTAGGATCTGTGTTCAGACACTCCGTTCAGCACATGCAGCCAGTGTCAGATATTAAAAACAGATGTCCTTTTAAAAGTCTGTTAATAAACCTCATTCAAACTTTTTTTGTTATTGTTGTTACATCATTTAAGAAAGAGGTAGGACGTAAACCTTCTCTGCTTACGTGTGATGTTTTAGATCTGAAGTTTGGGGTGCGTTGTTCATATGACTCAGAAATTACCATCTTGTTATATGCTGAGATGGATGCAGAGCTCTCTATTGAAATCCCATTTTTCTTGCTTGATCGGGGAATTATTTTAAATACATGTTTTTTATATTTCTTTACTCTTGAGTGTTACTGAGGATATCTTAGACATAACCTTTGAAAAATACGTTTATATTTGATTGTAGCTTTTTTGTTTTTTAAACAAAGACGTGTAACTTGAACAGAACTGCATTGGTTTTTTGTAAACTATTTCTTGGGCATTCACTTAGTGCCCCCAAAACTGTTTAGGAATGAGAGAAGAACCACAAAGTCACAAAAGTTAAAATTGGTAGAATTGGGTGGTACGGAAAAAAAATGCAAAAGGATCCTTTTCAGAAGGAGGAAAACATCACTGAGTTCTTTTTTCCCCCCTGAGTTAACCTCTTACATTAGTCTTTGTTCAAACATGGAATTTTCTGAAGATGACCTGTATGTTTTCCATGTCATAACAGTGTAAAGTAATTTCTTGTAGACAGTTAGCATACGATGTTTTTCTGGTTGTACAATAATGCTACTAAATGCATGTTAATGCCAAAGCTGCCTGACAGATCTTGGCTCTCTGTAAGCCCTCCTTGGCTGCTCTGATACAAAAGAATTTCTTGAAACACTGATGCTATAAGGAGTAACTCTAACGCTATAAGCCACTCTTTGGGTCTGATTCATTGGGATGATGATGGTTGGTTATTATCCTTGCAGCCTGCCAGAGGCATACAGGTGATCCGGACTGAGGAAAAAAAACTAACCTTGATTGGAATTTCAAGGGCAAGCAATAGTCATGGGTTTAGGTCAAAAGCTGTTTTGAGTTTCAAAGTTCAGTAACTAATTTGGTAAGACATCTCAAGCTAGCCTTATTTCTGCAATTGTATGACGTATGGGAAATGTCAGAAGTTTCATAAACCATCAGGATAGCTCCTGCTTGGAGCTGAGAAATTATATTGTCTGAATATCTGGATTCTGTCACATAAACCAACTTTTGAGGGAACTTGATATATCAAGTCTATGAATGTTTATGGAGTTGTATGGCCCAGACTTTCAGTCCCAAGGTCAAGGTAGCTGCAAACAGATTTCATTAGATTGTCATGTCAACGCCAAGAGCACTTTTTATCAGTTTTTTGTGATACTGAGGAGGTGAGGTCTAGGAGAAACAATATGTTTCTGCTAAACTGATGACAGAAGTGAGTTCTTGGTTGAATTGTGTGCTTGTCAAAAGAAGGTGCATCACTTAAATACAGCTTATTTGCTAACTCTCTTCAACTTTAGGTAAGGTGGTGATTTAAGAATGTAGAGAATAGAGGTTGACAAGTCATCAGGTGTCTTTCAAGTGCTAATGTTCAGGGTAGGCTGTCCATAAATCCTTCAGCAAGTTGTAGACAGCAAACTGATCTGTCATTGGTGTCAGTGCAACCAAGTGTGAAAGTGAAATGAAGGAGGAACTGACGCAGGGTGGGTAATCATGATTACTTCTTTCCAGCCTAGCACCCACAAACAAGACTTCTGAGCAAGGTTTTTGTATCTTTCATTTGTTTAAGGTTCACTCAGGTGTTTAATGTTTTACTAAGATCTTCTGACCAAACAAAAAGCTGACATGCTGAATCTCTTAGCTGATACTATTTTCATTATTTTTAGTCCAATTGACTAAATAGAGGATGTGGTTATAAATAATTAGAAAGATTATTCTTTACTCAGTAAATGTAAGCAGAAAGTGTTCTTTTACACAGGTAATGAAATTAAATGTCTTTAAAGCGTAGCTCATTTTTAAATATTAACTTATAACTGGCAGCTCTGTAGCACTGCAGTCTCTGGTATGGGTAAAAGTTGGGTAACTTCATTTGGGCACAGACTTCCTTGCTTATTTTTATTAAGCAAGACTGTTAATTGATTACAGTCCCTAAGGACAGATTCTTTAATAATGAGTTCTAGTTTATGCACTCCCTGAATTTGCAGGAAAGGAACTGTCACAAAGTATAAGTAATAACTTTCCTTGAAGATTTGGGGCAGTCTTAGTAGATTTTGATGCGTAGATCATCACTGAGTATAACCTTCTTTATCAGATAATAGCAGTGTTTGACATTGGATTAAACTGTCAGGCAAATAATACACATCTCGCCTAATTTAATAAAACCAGAAACAACGGGCTTATTGCATAATAGGGTCAGGGTTTAGGAGCAGAAAGTGGGTGTTAGAAGGTCAAAGGTAGAGGGGGGTGTAAGAAAGCAGGAGTTTTGAACACGAAAATCCCTTGATGTTACCTATCTTGTAGGGTTTTTTTCCCTAACAGATAACCCATTGACTTTATGGCAGAATAATATTTTGTTCTAATTTTGATTCGATGCAGTTCAAACAGTGTCCTCTACAGAGGGAACTAGAGAACATGGAAGCTGGAAGTCTTTGCCTTTATACGATGCACGTTAATTCTCTCTTCCTTTGATCAAATCTGAATCTCGGTTACTGTCAAGATCCATATATTCTGCCGGGTTGGCTCAAGGGCCAGGGAAGTGTGACTCAGGGAACGTATTGGGCTGTGTGCCCTGGAGATCTGTGAGAGCCTGTCAGCTTGAGCTTCTGCCTCCTTGGCTGCTATTCTAAGGGTTTATCAGTTATGTAATGCATGTATAGTTCAGCGTAGCATAATTATGTCTAAACTGTTGTGGAATGGCAGCCTTGAAAACACCCAAGGGCAAAGCTAGCAGACGTTGATAGCTTGTTGTTCTAACCTTCGTTAGACGTTTGGCTTGTGACGTAATAAGTCAGTCATCAGCACCCCTCTTAGTATTTCTTCGAGAGGGTTTGATTTACTGTCTCAATAAACCGAGTATTCTTTTCAGTTCATGTGGGACTCACTGGGGAAGTATCTTTATGCTGTGAGAGAACACTTACATGCCAAATTGTATTTTCATAATTTTTATGACAGGTAATGAAAACTGTGGCATCACTTACAGACTGGTTCTGTCCTGAAATTGTTTATGGAGAAAGTACATGCCTTAGCATTCACAACTTCATGGTAGTCAGGTGACTTTCTTTGACCTCTCTGCTTATTTGTTTTTAGATTACAGTCCTCGGAAGAGGAAAACTTACTTCTTTGACTTTGCAGACTGTTGACAAAAGCATGTGTGCAGTAGCAATGTGGAAGAAGTCGTCGTCATTTCAGAACAGTATCCTGAGTTTTACTTCATAGATTTGTTTTGTTGTCTTTTATAGTGTAAAGGAAATGAAGATGGGGAGACAGTTATTGTTGAAAAAGACCATTTTATGGATGATTTTTTCCAACAGGTAAAGTTACAGTTTTCACCATGTATTAAAGCCTTACAGTTTTCTTTCCGTGCCTTTTAATTTCTGTAATTAGGTTTACAATTCATCTACACACACACCCCCCAATAAGGTTTGTAATGGTATGCCAAATCAGATGTTGGTAATGCTTTTGCTTGTTTATTTCAGGGTATTTTCTGTCTTTACTGCATAGAAGTGTTTTTGACTCCCCGTCAACAAGGAATTTGCTTATAGAATTTTAAGATCTTTTTTATTAAGAATAGTATCGCTTAAGTTTTTGGCCATATAGAACGTATTTGCTATTAAGAATACCATTTTTTCTTACAAAAAAAAAAGTGCAAGCTGTTTAAATGTCAGCATTTCTGCTGGGATTTCTGTCAGATAGTTACAAATGTTGCAGTGAAATACTTTGATTTTTATTGCCCTGAATTACTATAATGTTTTCATTGCCATATTTCTCTTCCTCTAGGTTGAGGAACTTAGAAATAATATAGCAAAAATAGCACAAAATGTGGAAGAAGTGAAGAAGCAGCACAGCATTATCCTGTCAGCACCAAATCCTGAAGGAAGTGAGTATCGCTTTTTTTTAGATTTCAGATATGTGTGGCTAGGTATTCTGAAATAAATATTTTTGTTTGTTTTAGCTACCTATAGGAATAGAATTTCAGGTGTTCAGAATGCAAAATGTAACACCATTTATTTATTTAAATATTCCCATATTTAATATTGAATTTATATTTTCATTTGCTTATTTTTACCTTTTCTAAGTCTCATTTGAATAAGTACATTTTCAGAATATTTGTTGCATCATCCAAACCTTTGCTAGACCAAAACTCGTTTAATACAGTATCTTGAAATTGATTGTGTCTTCAGAAACTTAGAGGCTGCTTGCATTTCTTTTAATTTGTGAAAATGTTGAAGTTGTCAGCTGAAGCTCACACAGTAGACCCATCATCTTCTCTTTATTCTTCAGTAAGGGCAAGGTCCCATCTAACACTACAGCCAGCTGCTTCAGTGGTAGTAAGAGTTCCATGCTGGAGCCCTATTTTTAGAGACTGTAACCCCAAAGCTGAAAGGGAAGATGTGCTTTCTGAACAGAGAACTCGAAAGTTTAGGGAACTTGCCCAGAAACACGGAACCTTCTCTGTTCTCAACACTTCTTAATTCAAGGCATGCCGGGGTTTGTGGGCACCGTTTAAAGAAAATGGAAGAAAAGATGCTGAGAGATTTTTGTGCAGTGTTGCAACACTAGCTTTACACTTATCTTTTTGTTGATGAAAACCGAACTTTGGATATTAGTTTTTCTTTTCCCCCTGTTTTCTTTGTTTATGGATGGGCATATGTTTGTATTCTTAAATGATTTTGCAGGCTGCTTTTTGTCTTAATCATATACAGTCAATGAATCTCAGGTTTAATAAGGGTTCATCTGAATGTTTAAAATCTGTGGTCTCAGATCACTTATCAGCTTGTGTTTGTGCTAAAAATTGTGCTCATTAATGCATCAGAACTGTGTAGGAACATGACATTGCTTGTAAGTAATGTTTGCTCTTGTGAATCTAGTGTCTTCAGTAAACCCAATAACAGAGATCTAGCGAAGTTCTTCATGAATACTCTGTATAGTATTCTTCAAAAAATATAGGTAGTGCATGGTACAGTTATGTTAATAAGGGCAAAAGCAGTGAGTCCGTAATAAACAACAGAACTAAAAAAATGTGAGATAAATCTGTATTTTCACTTGGTAGACTTCAGTGAACTTTCATTTTAACCAGCAAAGGAATATTACCCTGGAAGTGTTACGTTAACAAAAAACGTGGAATATTTTATCACCTGGTTTAGTCGGTAATAACATTTGCCAAGTGTAAGGGCCTGTCATAAGAAGCAGGAATCTGATAGTATGCTGTTACAAAAATCATATTTAAAGTACTTAGGAGCATAATAAGTGCATGGTTGTACTGAATACAAGCAAGGTAGAGTTGTAGATGGTTGCTGGCTTAGTATTATCAATCATCAACAGTTCTAAAAAAAAAAAAATTTTTTTTTTTTTTTTAAGGAACAAAGGAAGAACTTGAAGAATTAAATGAGGAAATAAAGAAGATTGCTAATAAAATCCGAGCCAGGTTAAAGGGTAAGTTGTGAGGAGAAATAAAACTACTGTCTCTTGTAATGATTCAGGATGGTAGCAGTGTTACAAACTTAATGCATTGCAGCTGAACTTCTAAACTTTAAAAGCTGTATTATGTATGCATAAATTGTATGCAATTCCTACTGAAGTAGTTACTGTGTTTTAAGATCTGTATCAATTATTGAAATTATTTTTTTTATATATCTCTCTCTCGGCCAATCCTCCTCCCCCTGAAATGTTAAACATATCTGTGGGGAGCTTGTACATGAAAAAAAGTAATAATTACTAGTATTTACAAAGTAACTGAGCTACACTATTAAATAGTTATACTGAACGTTGACTCATAATGTTCTTGTATTGTTCTTAGCTATTGAACAAAGTTTTGATCAGGGTGAAAATGCTAATCGGACATCAGCGGACCTCAGGATAAGAAAAACACAGGTATGATTACTTAATAAGTTTAAAGAAAATAAAAGGATTCTAGTAAATTGGAGAATGAGTTTCACTTTTCTGAAATAGTTTCAGAACTTCATGTTCTGTTTTGTTGGAATGTAAATAACACTCAGTTGTTGTGCAGTAGTATTTGCTGTATCAAAAAAAAAATAAACGTTTTTGTTCCACATTTTTAAATCCTCAAAAAACAGCACTCTGTATTAGCTCACAAGTTTGTGGAGGTCATGACGGAATACAACGAGACCCAAACTCTTTTTCGAGAACGCAGCAAAGGTCGGATACAGAGACAATTAGAGATAAGTAAGTGGCCTGAATACACTTTCTTAAAAAAGATGAATTGTGTTGTTAGTACCTCCCTTGTTTCTTACTGCTTAAAGATGGTACAAAGCATCATATGTCTCGGACATCTTCTTGAAGCATGTGAGGGAAAAGAAACAATTCTAACATACGGCATAAACTCTTTGATGCTACTTTTCAGAACAGCTGTAAAGAAAATAGAGAAAACTCACTAAATCATTTCTTTTTTGTTGAAAATTATTAAAGAAGATATCTTTTTCCTTTGTTTTACTTATTTCCAATGTTGCAACTTTAAACGAAACATTGAGAAAAGCTGTGTTCTGAAGACAGTAAGTGTTATTAAAAACCATTCTAAAATTAACATGCTAAACAGGAACATCTTTTTTTATGCTATTCTATTTTTGTCAATAAGAACATTTGCTAAATTCAGCTGACATAAAATCAGTGCTGCCGTTACATGTACTCTAATCATTTCTTGACTGACTCACATTTGACTTATTTCATCATTGATTATTACAAGGAGTATTCAGAAAGGTACCTGACTCTTCTCTGAACTACAGCATCTACCTCAGAAGGTGTCGGAAAAAATCCGTAACGTCTTGTACCTAAAATTAGCCTTTTGGAATATCTCCTGTAGAAGTAAATACATATATTGCTGAAACAGGAAATGCAAACAAAAAAGTTGGCAAATTATAAGACGACTTCGCTTTTCATGTGCTTCTCAAATTTGTCATTAGCCGCTCATGCTAATGGCTCAATTCAGCATTTCGGTAAAGTTTATCGGGCAAGTTAAATTCTTCTTTACCTATACATTTGAGAGGAGGGACCCTAATACCTGAGGACACGGTTCTTTTAAGTTAATGTTGTTATGACCCAATTAGAGCCTTCAGCTTTTCCTCAGCGCTAAAAATTTTAAAGCATAAAGCAGGTTTTGCGGCTTTCTTGGGTATTAACATCAGAAAGTAATATTCAAACTAACTTTCATCTGATAGGACAGAATTATATAAGTTATTACAGATATTGAACTTATTTTACATGGGAAGAACAGGGATTTGATATGTAATTTTTAAAACTGTACAATACAAATCACTTGAATGTGATGTGTAACTTGTAACACTTGCATTTGTCATGCCAGTGTGATCAATAGGATTCAGTTTGGTTAAACATGCAATAATAAACTACAATTGTTAGATGTATTATGAAAAGTAGAAGTGAAGGTATGCTATGGGCAATCATCTTCTCTGTGTGGACTATGAATGTAATCCTGTGTTGGGAAAATTAAATTTACATAAAGATTTTACTGCCCACACAGTGGTGGGGAGCAAGTAAATTAGGTGCCAATGTGACGTGATTGAATAGGTAAATATTGAATGTTATGTAAATACCCTGTATCTCAAGTTCTTCCTTCTGAAGAACACTCCACTTAACGAGGTTCATATGTACATTGTAAATGTTTCTGATCAAACTCTTCAATTTGACCAAAAAAACCCCAAAACAAACAACAAAAAAACCCCCATCAACCAGGAATTCATCATTGTAGCTTTGAATCTACATTTGTTTTCTGACTATTACTTGATATTTTCTGGTCTTTTCATATGCAAAATGGCATTTGGTAATGGCTAAACACTACATTGTTTTATCCTGACAAATGCTCAATACAAGAATTTTCTTTGAATTGTCATCCTTCTGGTATGGTAAAATTTTTATGTTCAATAACAAGTAAGTGATGTTATGTGAAGTACTGTTGTTTTTATTCTAGCTGGAAAGACCACCACTGATGAGGAACTGGAAGAAATGTTAGAGAGTGGTAATCCTTCAATTTTCACTTCCGATGTATGTATTTCTGGTCCAGTTACGTCTCTCTTCTACTCTGCTGCTTCTGCTATTTAGAAGTGTGTCAGCACATACTTATTTATGTCTGTATCTTTTCTTGTTCTCCCAAAGATTATATCAGACTCTCAAATAACTAGGCAAGCTCTGAATGAAATTGAGTCACGTCACAAGGATATTATGAAACTGGAATCTAGCATACGGGAACTACATGAAATGTTTATGGACATGGCAATGTTTGTTGAGACTCAGGTAAATGAACCAATTCAAACACATTTACGTAAGTGGGATTTTTTTCCCCAGTCTTCCTCTTTGAAATATGCAGAAACAATTGCTTATATTCAGATAATACAGACTTAAAGTGTTTTTTGACTGATAAAATAGATGAAAGTTAATCACTAAAGGTTTTCTGTTTTTAAACAAACGTATAATCTAGATGTACTCGTAGTATATGCTATGAATAACTAAGCATAGACTTTCTTTTCAGTTGGTATACTTAATATTTTCTTCAGCATGCTTATATTGCAATATGCTTGAACATTTTGTGCATGTTTAAGAACGAACAACTCTCCTGGAATGTTGGCTAATGTCTTGGTAATTTAGGATTCTCACAGACATGGTAAAGGGCTACTGTGGTAGAATAAAATGTGCGTTAGCAAGGATGTATGCAACTTGCACTTAATACAAAGGTATGATTACTGTTATAACTAACATGAATGTAAAGGGATTGACAAGTCATTCAAGTCATCTCTTACATTCATAAGCTTTGTCTTGACATGTACGTAAATTTGTTCTATTTGTAGTCTTTACATACCAATTATCTAACAAAAATATTTTTAACTTCTGTTCTTAAAATTCTTTGACTTATGCAGGGAGTGAAAAGAATAATGTTCAGGAGAGAAACTTTCCTGAAAAGGACTATTATTTTTTTTAATTGGGTTTTGTTCTAGAAGTCTTGTGTTGCTTTGATATTAAATATATAGCCAAGGCAAATTGGTAGCAGTTTTCTTTTGAATTAGAAATGAACAAAAGTTACTTGTGCATCATTCTTTAATGCTTTGCTGTTTACTGCTGCTGATTATTTCTTCTGATGGACAGAAACACAGGTAATAGACTGTAATTTTTCACCAATCCTCCATTTCATTACCGAATTTCATTCATCATAATTAATTTGAATTTGTTATGTACTGACATTCTAAACCCTCAGTTTTGAGGAACTTTTGAAGTTGCTATTATATGTGTGCGTTTTCTTAGATAACTGTTGAACCTTGTGTCAAAATAGTCAATGTCCTTTCCCACTTCCAGGCACGTCAGGGATTTCTGATCTCTTTAGTATGTCAGTTTTAGTTTTGGCTGTTAAAACATACCTCACATTGAAAGGCATGTTTTCAGGTGTTCAGTATTTTTTCCTGCAAAAGGGAGAAATATGTCTGCCCTGCCCATGAACGTGCCTTGTTTGGTTAGAACTTTGAGCCCTTGCTTCTCATTCCCTTTTTCCTTTACACATCAAAGCAGAAAAAATGTCAGCCACTAATATGCACATTATTCACTTGTTTAAAGTAATCGCTGATGTTCTATAGCCTTTCTTCTCTTAGGTTCATTAAACAAGGATCCATGGATTCCAATAATAAAATTTTTTCTTAAAAATTTCATTTTAAGGGCGAAATGATCAACAACATAGAAAAGAACGTGATGAATGCATCAGATTACGTGGAACATGCAAAAGAAGAGACAAAAAAGGCAGTTAAATATAAAAGTAAAGCACGAAGGGTATGCTGTCTTTCTGTAATTGTGCTAGTCAGTGTGTTAACTTAGCACAGTATGAAGCGACCTTCAATTTTAGTTGATTGTTGTTGTTGTTGTTGTATTCAGTCCTTCAAGGTAGAATTAATATATGCATTTTACTTTTTTGTAGTTGTGATACTTAAAATTAGATTAGAAAACGTTGTTATAAATTAGTATATGACAGAGGAAGATTTACCAAAGGATTCTACGAACAAACAAAAAAAACCCCTGTAATCCAGAAGAAATCACAACATTTCCCATGTGAATTAATTTGTTACAGTTAATATTAAAAATTGATATTACCAGTAGAGGACAGAAACTTCTTGTACTACAAAAACGGATAAGCAATTTGTGCACAGCTAAGGCTATGTTCACAATTTTCCACTTAAAAAAGCTGTCGTTACAGAGTATAAAAAGCCCAAAAGAAGAATTAATATGTTATGATATATATATGAATATATGTCACATGTTAACAGAAAAAATGAAATCAGTGGTTTTGCTGAAGCAGGCTTACACTTTCTAGAATTCCATCTGTTAATTATTCTTTTCACAGATAACAACTTTCTCACTCTTGTAAAAAGTACTAGATTAGGCAGATCTTCCCGCTGGCAAGGGTGTGGCGTTAAACCATGACACTCAGTTTGTGGAGGAATTGAGTTCAAAGTAACGTTCAGGCATTCTCCATTGGCATGGAAACTTGTGTTTTGTGTTTCAACACCTTTCTTCCCACCAGAAAGCCTGTCGTGGTTTAACCCCAGCCGGCAGCTAAGCCCCACCCAGCCGCTCGCTCACTCCCTCCCCCCCCCCCAGCGGGGGGGGGGTTGGATTTTGGCTGACTGTTGTGGTTTAACCCCAGCTGGCAATGAAGCCCCACGCAGCTGCTCGCTCACTCCCCCCCCCGCCCCCGGTGGGATGGGAAGAGAATCAGAGGGGTAAAAGTGACAAAACTCATGGGTTGAGATAAAGACAGTTTAATAGGTAAAGCAAAAGCCATGCACCAAGCAAAGCAAAACAAGGAATTCATTCACTCCTTCCCCTGGGCAGGCAGGTGTTCAGCCATCCCCAGGAAAGCAGGGCTCCATCACGCGTAACGGTGACTTGGGAAGACAAACGCCATCGCTCCGAACGTCCCCCCCTTCCTTCTTCTTCCCCCAGCTTTATATGCTGAACATGACGTCACGTGGTGTGGGATATCCCTTGGGTCAGTTGGGGTCAGCTGTCCCGGCCGTGTCCCCTCCCAACTTCTTGTGCCTCCCCAGCCTGCTCGCTGGTGGGGTGGGGTGAGAGGCAGAAAAGGCCTTGACTCTGTGTCAGCACTGCTCAGCAATAACTGAAACATCCCTGTGTTATCAACATTGTTTCCAGCACAAATCCAAAACACAGCCCCCCACTAGCTACTGGGAAGAAAATTAACTCTGTCCCAGCCAAAAGCAGCACAAAGCCAAAGAATGTATTCTGAAATTAAACTACTAAGTAATTTATTTTTATATTTTGTAACTGTATGATTGCAGAGTGAATGAAGTGTTCCTCTGACATAATTTGCCCTTTTGAGAGGCTGTGCAATTTTGTGAGGATGTTTATGGCGAGTTGGATTTGAGAGAATAATGTAGATAGATAGACAGATATCTACATATAAATAACATGCCTGTTACATTTAAAAACAATATTTAAATGTCAAAAGAGCCCACTTAATGTATTTGTAAATGGTAGTTTTCTCATCTTTGATAACTATATAGGTATTATTCACACTAGTTTACCTGTAAACACTGTTTAAAAATGTTTATTCTTATGTATGCAAGAGTATACAGATAAACTTACCTCAATTTGAGAATACTGCAGGCTTTAATAAAAACAAGTGTGGATCTAAAACCTGACTATTTTAAAAATTGAAAATAAATGTAAGTCGTAATGTGCTTAATATTAAAATAATAATACCTTGTTTTTTGACAGAAAATGTGGATAATTATCATTGTGTCATTGGTGTTGATTGCCATAATTGGTCTAATTATTGGTTTGTCTGTTGGTGTTCCATGATGCCTGGATAACCTCAGCATGCATGGCTTCCTGCCAGTGTGGCAGTAAGTAACTAATCAACTAATTTTGCTCTTGTTTTGCTCTGGTAACTTGTATTGTTCTACTAACCCTTAATATCTGTACGGTTAGTACTGGGGGGGTAGGCTTGGGATGCATCGGTGGATCTTCTCTATCTCTGCTTACTATAAAAGTGCTATGCATGTGCATGTTGAAAACTGACATCTAGTGGTAAGCTGCTAAATTTACAGAGTGCAGTCGCCATGTAAGACTTGTAAACACAGAAGGAAATGAGAGCAAAAAATCCAATTATTGTCTCGCAGTCCTTTGAAATTTCCTTTATACTGAAAGTTCACATCAGCAAACAATCTGCACTAACATATGGAACGCTAGTTACACTTGGAACTTTATCAAATGGGGTTTTCTATGGTTTTAAGTAGAGCTTTCATAAAAGTAGAAGTCTACAACCATGAAGGTGGCTATTATGCCTTGCAGAACATCCTAAAATTTCTTATTTCGAAGCTGTTTATTAATACTAGACTAAATGAAACAGTGGGAAATAACAATGTATTTGGAAAAGGAAGTCTGCAAAGATCCCAACTGGAATTTTAGGACGTAAATTTGAGAATTCTCTCAATCTTCAGACTTTTGCTGTACTAATCTACCATTTCTTGTCAAGGTAACACCTAGCCAGGCTAAGTAGAAAATGGCAGTTAACTCTTCTGAGTCCGGTAGAAACTCAGCTTTTTACATGTAGTATCTTCAAACTACGTAGGAAGTGCTATGAGCGGGATGTCATGTCAGACAGCTAATCAGGAATTCAGTTTTCTGTACTAACACTCTTTTAATATCACAGTTTTTAGTTTTGATGTTACAGTTTCTGCTCAGCTTTGGTTTATGGGCAGATAACAGGATTCACGGTATCACCGCTTATAGTCACAAATACCTGACCTAATGCCAAGTATGACTTGGGATGCATTTACATAGAACCCAACTCTCTTTTTTTTTTTTTCCCCCTTCCCCCTTGCAGCTCTTCTGAGCTATTACCTACACAATGTTTTTACTGATGTTTTATTGGATTCCACTAAGTGTGCAATTGTAAAGGTTTGAGCAGACTACAAATATTTATCCAAGGAGGGTGGCAGTAAGCAATGTTACTGTATTTAGACTTGACCTCAATAAGTAAATGTTCACTATTGCATCTGTTTCTATACGTAATGATATTTACAGAAGTTGGGTATGAGTAATAACAATTATTCTGTGAAACAAAATACAGCAGCGTTACACAGATAGCTCTATCTTGTAACTGTGGTTACATGTATGTTAGAAAAGAAAGACTAACAACAGGAAATCATAGCAGTAAGTATTCTTTAGAAAGAAAATCCAAACACTCGGATTAGGTATCAGCATTACTAATTTTCTGTGGCTATGCATGTATATAAACAGTTCTGTATCTGACACGGTATTTCAATCTCAACTTTTCTCTCTTTTTTGCAGAAATTGGTGTTCATAATTATATGTGTAACTGTATTGCTTCTGATACTTGGAATTATCCTAGCAACAACACTATCATAGCAAGCACATTCCAAGAGTTACGAACCTTCAGAAACTCCAAAATACATCTTCAGTAAAACCAAACCTTTTTTAACAAAAGATGCCTTACACTGTTCCATGATGATGACCTATCACTAATGGTTAAAAATGAAAACAAAATCGCTCTTAATGTTTACTCATAAATGAAGATCAGAATGTATTAGGATACGTATGGCTCTTCATCATAAACTATACATTTGTAAGACGGAAACTTGCTCTTAATTGTTTTGAACTAAAATAACTTAGGGCTTTTTTCATATCTCAGTGTTACAACAGTTTAAATAGGGAGTTGAGAGACTATTGAGTTTGACTGTTTGGCTTTTTTCCTATCGCTAATACAATTCTAATCATGAACTTTAGTACCTTACCAGTGCTGCTTTTGTTAGCGCTCTTGTGAACGTTTTTGTGAGGTGTAGCCTTGTCTCTGTGTGTTAATTATTTAGTCACTTTAACCTATCTCAGATTTATACCTAAAAATCTTTTCTCCAACAAGTGCTAAAATACTTTATCCTGAAAAGACTACTTATTTAACTGTCTGCCTATTGCGTTACACTTGAGAAGAGAAAAAAAAAAAGGCTTTTTTCCACTTTCCAGGGTTTTTATTTTTTTCTTTCAATGTGACTAAGGTTAATTGCTTTAAATATTTCTTTGCCTTTATAATAAAAAGTTAGTTGCAACATTTCTGGTAAAAGAATGCAGTAACGAAGCACACCAAATTTGAACTTGAGCAGATAATTTTACAAATAATCCTTGTGCAAAGGAAACTGATGGATCAGTTTAGCCTTATTGTTCATACGAATATGACAAAAATCACACTTTTTCCTCTATAAAGCCAAGTCAACGTTTCTTACTCAGATGCTTGCTAATGTGTGAATATAGCACATAGGGATAAACTCCCTCAGGAAAGTCTGAAACATAATACAAACTAAGACACTGATTTGTTACGAAATGTGTGTGTTCTAGAACATATATGAAGTGTTTTAGTGTATACATACCTATTGTAATGCTAGCTTGCAAGACTTGAAAGCTTGAAAGACTTCAAATGTAACCAAATAACTGCATTTAATGTTACAGGTTATTTTTGTATTTTGTGTGTAAAATATTTGTAACTTGAATTTTTGACTTCTGGTTGTTTAAGGATACCCATGTAGATATGTAGATATATTTACACTGTAAGACAATTAGAGGAAAGTATAACGTGTGCCTTTTTAAACAGTCTAAAACTACACTTGTCAGTGTTTCCAAATATAGAACTATGATGTTAACTGCAATAACTCGCTCCTAAAAGGTTAGAATCCTTAAACTTACGTTCTGTTGAAAGTGTCTGATCTCAGAGTGACTCAGTAAACTATAATTCAGTCTGACTTAATGAAATTCAGCAAAGTTTACAATTTGTGTTGTATGTATGAATATTCCTGCTTTGCTGCCCAAATACACTGTGAATGTGCTGGAGCTATTCAGATGTCAAACATGTTTAAAAAAGAAAAAAAATATTACTATTGGCCTTGTTGCAAGTCGGCCATAAAGAAGCCGCTTGAAAAGCTTCGGCTTCATTAGTGAACAAATTTCTTTACCTCTACGTCCAGAACACTCACCGATGTTTGTGAGGAAGTTTACATGCAAAGTAAGGAAAGATTGGTTGCCTTAGTGCTCGTTCTAGGTAAAATATATTTTTATTCTATAGTTTTCTAGATTTTTATCAGTAAATATTATTTATACAGATAAACAAATTAAATTGGGGGGAAAAAACCAGTTCTGCTGTTTAACAGCTGGTTACCTAAAATGAGCCCCAAAATCCTGTCATGTTGAATTTTTTTATTTATAATGCAATAATTTGCCCATCAAGACCAGAAATTTGAATAGGCCACTCCGTACTTTTTACTTGTTGTATAGCTGCCTCAATGAGTTTGTTTTAAAACAAAACAAAACTTGTTCTTCACATGAACCTCTTTGTTCTCTTAATATTGGAGGGGAGTAAATCTCTAACCTATGCACTAATAAATTTATCTAAGCAAGTATCCTGTGGCTGGTTTCATATCCATGATGATGTTGTGACCCTTGTGCATATTTCCAGTCCGTGTTGGAATAAGGCTGGTATGTTTTTGCAATGACGAATGTCAAGCAACCGACACCTAGGTCTTAAGTAAAGGTAGTGTATTTCCTGAAACTTTTTACCAAAGAAGGTGTAGAGATGATCAGAGTAGGTGTAGAGATAATTATGAAGACACTAATGGGGTTTATTAATTTAAACTATTCCCGTGGAATTTTGCTTTAATGTTAAACTTGAAAAATGTGGGAATTACTTATTTGAATAAAGCTATTCATGTATTCTCAAACTCCCCATAAAAGTGCATCTTTCACGGTGCAGAATTACAATAACTTCCTGTTACCTGCCTACCCCGGAACTGGAAGTTCTGGAATAGATTGAGGGTTCTGATGTACAGGTGGTAACTGGAGCCAGTCCCCCTGTGCTGATGTTCAAACTTCGTTCAGGTTGCCGCTCTGACGGGTTTTTGCGGGCGCGGCATTGAGCGGTGTTACCCGAGCGGCGATGCTGTGCCTGTCTTCTCCTGGTAACCTCGCTCCTTTCTGTGTCCTCCTGCCTCTCGCCTGCCTGCTCATCTCCAGCAGCTGTGGTGAAGAGGAGCAAGCAGCCTGCTCGGGGCCGACAGCCGGGGCGGCTGCCGGGGGTGGGAGGTGGGGGGGGAACAGCTGCCACCCCCACTGGGCAGCGCGGGGACTGGTGCTCGTCTCCTGGTGCCTCTTTTCCCTCATCTTCCTCCCCCCTGCATCACGAACTGAGGTACGTGAGCCTTTCAGGTGGTCGGCGCTCTGGCAAATGCGATACAAGTGTCAGCATGGTACTGTATAAGGGGAGAGGTTGGTTGTGCTGAGCTTGTGGGGGGGCGTTTTTTGGAGGAATTTGGAGGAAAGAATGCCCAAGGCTTCATTTGCTGTCATTCGAGTCAGCGCTATCTTCGTACAGAAATAAATTGTCATTATAACTTTTGTAACAGTCTAACACCAATGGGGATACGCATGCAGCGCTAATACCAGAGCACTTAGAAGTTGGGAATTGGCCAACTTAACGACTGACTGTAAGGTAATTGAGCAGTTACGCTTGGTTCGATATTTCTTTGTGGTATTGGGAAAATTGGATAGGAGTGGGAATGTTGAACTTGGCAATTAATAAGGCAAACTTGTCCATAAAGGCAAACCAAGAGAGTAAAATCGTAGCGTAGGGAAAAGGTTAAGTGGCTGTTCTTACAAAGGTCTGTACAACCAGGATGCTCAGGTTATTTCTAAGCGCGGGTGGCTCTGCTGCTGCTCACAGCGGTGCCATACCACCTGTGGGAAAAGCACCAAATCTGAACATGGGTGAATTCAATAGAATGAACTGAAGCTCTTTCAGAAGTTAATCGGTCTTTGTTCTGCTTCTTTGCTCGGCAGTGTAAAACACAGAACAGACATTTCTAGGCGGCGCAGGATTTGTTCAGCATAGCACTATGTGAGTTTTGATGAATACAAGCCTGATAAATAAAATTTAAAAGACAAAGGGAAATGGGGGAACTGCTGCCTGTGAGGAAGGATGTTTTTCTGTATAAAAATGATGATATTTAAAAAAAAAAACCACTTTTGAACAATTGAGCTTAGTGTAGTTTTGAGAGAACAGTTTGGATGTGGAATGTTTGGGGTTTTTTGAGGAGAGAATGGGGGGGGTTAAAGACTTAGGTTACCTAACATTAAATTTGATTTGATGCGTTCATGTGGCTTGCATGCAGCTTCTGAAAATAACCGCGGCGTTCTTCCTCAGGCTGCAGTCAGTGGGTCAGCCTCTGCACCTGTGAACCCGCTCAGTCTTTTCTGTCACGTACAGTAATGGGCTGCTCGGCTGCGTCGCGCCATTTGCAGCCTCTTCCAGCTACCTCTGTCAAACGTGCCAAGTCTCTCTGCCAGTCGTAAAGCAGTTACGAATCGGCGTTTTGGAATAAAAAGAGCATTTTGTAAGCACTTGTAACTAGGTTCTGAAGAACGAAAGTACTTCCGGAATAAAGGTTTTTACGAAGGGAAATACATAGAAATGGTAAGTAATTACAAAATAATCGCGTTTATGCATTGTAAAGAATGATTGCTTTTATTGGCTGCATCAGAATCCATTTTACTGCAAGTAGGGGCAAAGGAGGATTTTTATGTTCAAGAGTAAAGAGTGCTTAGAAAATGGCTAAGTTATGATACAAATAGCTAACCGTATATAGCAGACTTTGTGGGTCGGGAAGAAAACAAGAATTACTTTGCATACAAAATTACATTTCCTATATCCATACTTCAGAGAGAACATGAGACTGTTGGGTCAGCCCGTGCCAGTTACTGTCAGTTGAAAGTAAATGGAGCTGGACAACATTAACAGAGAGCGCAGCTCGGCTTCGAGAATATGTCCGAACGAATGCGGACTCGGCAGAGGTGCCGTTTATACATAAACAGCTCACTTTCCAGTCCTTTTATGTCATCTTACAGAAAATGGAGAGGCAAGTTCAATACATACTTGACGAGGTTATTTGGTAGTGTTGCACAGAACTCTTAACTTTCTGTAGTTACGAGGTTTTTACTTCTGGAGTCTGCCATCGTATGATCTTCATCAGTGTTTCTAACATTGGGTCAGTCTGATAAGGGAATTATGTCTCAAATTTCTGAAGTGAGATGTGGAGGCTTATAGACGAGAAGGCATACAAGAATGAATGCGTGTGTAATAAAATTGACAGCTTGTTGTAAAGAAATCTTTGGCTCTTTTGTAAGCTTCCTCCTTTCCGGAGTTGTGACATGAGCTTACGGTGAACATCGATATATCATAGAATCAGGGAATTACTCAAAGCAGCGTCATGGGTGAGATCAGACCAGATTCTCATACTGTTCTACATCACAGAATGAAACACCTTTGATTTTGATTAACTGAATCTTTTAAATGTAAACATGAATTTATTTTAAAAAAAAAAAAAGCTACTTTTTTTCTGACTCTTCGTATAGTGGAACAGTATCTCGTTAATATTCTCTAGATTAATAGAATTGTTTTTCTATAGGAAGTCCATCAAACAAAATAACATTTTGCTAGTCTAAAACTTCGTAAGAGAATCTGGCCTTGAGAAGAATTTTCTTCCTTGGCGCGTTTGTGGAACAAATTTCTGTTAACTGGAGGATAGAAATGGTTATTTTGAAGGGCACACTCGACTAAATGTAAAACAGATGAGCTTTAGACAAGGGGCGGGGGTGACTGGCTATGATATTGCACAACAGATAACCAGACAGCGGTTCCCTCACTGTGAGTAGTTTCATGCTACCCGAAATACGCCTTCGCCCAGTCAGCTACCGCTAAGTGGAAGTGAAGGAATTGCAGCTATTTGAAAGCCTGTTGAAGGCTTTACTTGGCTCCCATCTGTGGGTCACTGCAGAATCAAACGCTCACCAGAGCCATTGCAGAGCTGTTCTGCTGACCTGTAGAATTGGAAGATTGGGTCCGAGCTCGTCCGAGTCAGAAATGACGTGTCCAAGATCACACAGGCTCTGTGTGGCAGAGCACAGTGTGTGTACGCGGGTGGCCGCCCCAGCTTACAAGCCTGTCTTTGCCTTTGGTGTGTGCATGAAAGAGTACTAAAAGAAATACTCCTAGGAACCTTTTAGAAGTTCATGCTATGTGTTTACTGTTATTGTTGAAAGTTTTAAATGAGATTTATGTTTTGCCACCTTCCTAGACAGTAAAACTTCATGAACTTTTTATTTGTAAGAGGCGTCTGTATTTGGAGATTATTTTACCCAGAGGAAGGAAAATTACCTGTAAGATTTTGTAAGATCTGTGAGTAACTCTGCTACAGCTGTGATATTTTTTTTTTTTTTTTTTTTTTTTTTTTTCCCCGGGAGCTATCTGGCAGTGTTGGATTGCCTAGTTCTTATCTAGAGCATGGTTAAGTGTCCAAATTGGTGAGGACAGCTTTAAAATCTCAGGTTTCAAAGTGCTCTACAGAAATTCATAATGCTGTTGTGGAAAACATTGCTTGCACTTTATAGATGTGAGGAATGATTCAGGGAAGAAAGTTGAACTGAAAGAACAAGTATTGACACTTCAATTTTCTGCACATTTTGTTCTTTTGATCTTAAAACTTTGGACCATGTACACCCCTTTGCAGTCATGAGTTACATCCACTGCTGTAAATGAGGCCTAAATTTGGTCCCTCGTTAAAAGTGACAAAGGATTCCCACAGAAGAAGAGCGACTGCCGTTGCAGCCTCGCACTCCAGCATCTGAAGGAGCCTGGGCGTAAGAGATGCCCATCCTGCGGGAACACAGGGATGCGGGAGGGAGTTTTTTCGCTCATTAGTTGTAATCCTCCGTCAGTGATGCATTCAGAAGTGACAAAAGCCTTTACTATTAGCCCGGTTCATTCGGTGGTCTGGAAGAATGCTGTTTCGCTTCATGGTTCCTCTTCTGAACCATTCTATGCGATTGGTTTAATCATCTTAATCAGCATTTCCCTCTGCAGAGCTTTTCACGGGGGTTTTCCAGTAGTGCTCTTCACACGCACCTCCAGGAATTTGGCCACAATGTAGATGCTGTGCATTGGCTGGAAGATCGACTGACTTGGCAGGTCGGCTTGTGTTCGGCCACTGTTCCAAAACAGCAGGCTGCTGGTCATGAAAGGTGCTACCCTTTAAAAGTATGACTAAACCCTGTCTTGTTTTTAATTTATCGCTAGGTTTTATATCGGGGGAAGTGGAAAACAAATCCTTTGAATGCTGGCAATGGGGTAGACAAAACCATTTCAGTTAGAGCTCGCTCACAACCTTGTATATTTAATGCTGTAAATTTCAGCTGGATAGAAACGCTCTCAGAAAACACAATTAATTCCAGTTTTACTCTTCCAGGCCGTTCCCTGGGATTTCTGATTTGAGCACAGCTAGCAATCTGGACCCGAGTCTAGGGAAAGGATCCGATACCTGGACTGTATTTAGTGTGAGCAATTAAGCTACA